AAGTGTTATTTTTACACTTACTGACTTTATTGGACCCAAGATCAGAACGGCTTTGTCTTTGAGTGTCTTCATTGTCGTAGATCACCACCTGGCTGTCCTCGTTTTCTCTTCTGTTTCTTTTGTCTCTTTTACTATATCTCACATTCAAACTTAAATCATGTGCTTGAATGTTTGTAGACATTATGAAATGTCTTCACTGTCTGTTTGTCTGAGCCAGGCAGCTTTTTAAGAGGGAGCATCAAGGAAGTGGCAGCGGGCCAAACCACAAACACAGATACACCCTCAACACGTTCTTCCAAACTGCAATAAATGTCAGCATTTCTTCACTTAAGTTTTGAAACTGTGGCGGCCAACTGCTTTGAAGCAGTGGGTGCATTAACTCAACTTTACCCTTGTTTGCTGTCAATAAACTTTGAGAGGAGACATATTTAGATCATCAGGTGACAGAGGGGATGGTGGATAGTGATAGACACAGATGAGACGCCTGATAAGCAGCAGACTGCAGTAGACCACAATGTTTGAGACCAACAAAAGCGAGTATATTTTAAGGACATGTCGGGATATTTTTCAGCCAAACACAATGTTTTTCTAACTCCAGCCCATTGATGTTTGTGCACAAACATAACCACACATTAACCACAGCACTGTTCAACATAAAACTGAAAACTGCAACAAAGTGTTTCAACATATCTGCTACATATGAAACATACAAATATTACATGTGGGGTGCAGAAACACACAATGCCAACATTTATTCTTGCGATTTGAGTGAAGTGTATGGGTATAATGTGGTAGGTGTATTTTTTCCTATCTACATTTTTATAGTGTATTTAGGTTTTATGACACTGAAAGATGTACATTTAATTACACTTCATGTAAAAGCCCAACTAGGGACAAGAGTTGAAAATTAGCAAATAGCTAAACACTCTTTGTGCAGCACATCAGTTTCATTCTCTGTATTGGAACTATATTAAATTGCATTGCCCCTATTAACTGAATAAATGTAATTCAAATTCAGCCTAAGAATATCATTGTGCTGTTTTAATTTGATAAAAACAAAATAAAAGAGATTACAGAAAATCTTCCTCACTGACACATAGCCAGGGTCTGTGATAACCACCTGAAGTTCAGCTGGGTGGAATCAAGAATTGGCTCTGCTACATGCAGGACTATTAACATACAGAGAGCAGATAACAGATCTGAAACAGTGTAGAGGAGCACAGAAATGAAATATGACATGAGTGACCAATGTTCATTGTGTCAAAAATAAAGACATGACAAAAATTAGGACACGTACAATCTGCGTAAAACAACATGGAATATGTAGTTAAGCAACATCCCACTCGAGGTCATGCTGTTGAATATCACTTGACTGAATATCAGCATAGCTGTGATTCTGTTGTAGGCACGAGGCTGCAGCCGTGCTGATTTACAGCACAAGAGCACAACCTCAAGTGTGATACTGCTTTTATACAACAGCTCTATAAGCACCATTTATCAACAGTAAAAAGCTGCAACAGGCTCTGATTCATTTGTTTATTTAATGATTTATTTGACTCCACCAACACAAATACTTCCACATTTAGACTGGGACTGTTGCCAACCAACACATAAACATTCGTGTACACTAGCTTGCTGTTTTGTGTAGGTTGACATTTTACCACAGACCAGCCACTTTGTATCATGTAGCCTTGTAGGCATCTGTGTGTCTCCATTTATAATGCAAGCAGTGAAATCAGTCTGCTGACAGTTGTTTTAGCCCAGTTTCCACCAAACACTTTCGGTATGGTACCTTTGGAACCAAAAGTAACTCTTCAGACACGGTATGTAGACCCAAGGTCCGCTTAGTGTTTCCACCGCAAACAGTACCCTTAAATGTGGGCAGGGTTGTTGTCACTCACTGCTCTATCCAGAACTCACTGTATTTCCTCATCACTGGTGACACAGATGGAAGCCTGCACCTCGTTTATCGTCCACAGCAACAGGATTAGAATAATGCAGTTCAGATAACCCGGTCAAAATTAACATAAATGAACACTTGAAGATCAACTCATTACTAAATATGTATGTCATATAAAAACTAAAGTAATAGTCGAAGTTGTCACAGTGAAATTTAATTTGAGTTGATTAATTCATGTTGTCAACTCATGCATTGAGTAACATTACAAGTAAACGTTACACCTTAAAAGTTGTCATAGTTTTCTCCAACTCCAGCTGCTGCAAGAAGCAGCAAAACATCCTTTATTTTATAGTTACAGTTTACTAATAAAACTCTCCACAGTATGAACAGGACCAAGGACTAAGGACCAAGACACCGGTGACCCCTGTTTCCATCCAAGGGGTCAGTGTGGACATTGTAGAGGACTATAAGTACCTGGGGATACACAATGACAATAAACTGGACTGGGATAAGAACACTAACGCTCTCTACAGGAAGGGCCAGAGCAGTCTCTATTTTCTGAGGCGACTGAGGTCCTTCAACATCTGCCGGACTATGCTCAGGATTTTCTCTGAGTCTGTGGTGGCCAGTGCTATCCTCTATGCTGCTGTGTGCTGGGGCAGCAGGCTGAGGGTGGCGGACGCCAACAGACTCAACAAACTGATCCGCAAGGCCAGTGACGTTGTGGGAACGGAGTGTGACTCTCTGATGGTGGTGTCAGAGAGGAGGATACTGTCTAAGCTACGAACTATCTTGGACAATGTCTCACAACCACTCCACCATGTGCTGGTCAGGCACAAGAGTACTTTCAGTGGGAGACTCATACCACCAAGATGTACCACTGAGCGCCACAGGAAATCATTCCTGCCTGTGGCCATCAAACTGTACAACTCCTCCCTCTGAGTGGCCCTGAGACTTTTTCACACACACTGCAATAATTTAATTTAACTTGTGCAATAACCCCATTTCACCCTGACTGTATATATTCTGTTTGTGTAAATAATCTTGTTCAGTTTACAATATATATATGTGTATATATATATATATATATATTTATTTACGTTTATGTCTGTTAATAATTCCTGTTTATTTAACTATACATTTGTTAATACTATTGTTTAAATTTTTTATATTTTCATGTATCTTTCTTCTCTTGCAAGGAGCACCTGTAACATAAATAATTTCCCCTCCGGGATCAATAAAGTATTTCTGATTCTGATTCTGATTCTGAACAGTGGTTACATGAGCCTGAAAACCAGCCACAACTCAGCCCTGAGCAGAGTGACCATCCTCTACTGACCAATCAAACTGCAGTGTTCACAGCTCCACCTTTTAGTACCAGATCTGTGTGCTAGGTACCCCAACAGAAGGGCCAAAAACAGGGACGATATGGAATGGTTCCATTGGTACCATCCACAACTTTTCACAGTGGAAATGGAAAAAAAGGGTACCAAACTGAACTGAACGGTACCGTACTCCTCGGTGGAAATAGGGCTTTTGGTGGAATAGGTGTGATGGTGATGAGTTCACAGTTTAATCAGTACATTGCGTCACCTTCTGATATCATATCATTGCAGTGAAGTAATCATACTTCTTTCCGTCCTTTTGTCATTTTCTGACAACCACTGATTATTTAACTCAAACGTTATTTGTGGAAATATGTTCCTCTTTGTGGTGCAGAGTTTGTTACGACAACTCTCAGTGTTGGTTAACATTATGCAACAAAGGCACTTGTACCCAATTTACACTCTGCCAGTTCATATATGTTGGGATAATTAGATAGTTTTTGGATAGCAAAGAACTCAAGTGTGATGCAGCTGGGTGTTCAAGATGAATTAAAATGAGATTCAGTGTCAGATCTATCTGTCTCTCTTAAACACATTCACAATATTAACTCTCCCAAGTGTAACTACATCAGTAAGTGGTCTGTAGATGTCGCCCCTACAAGGTTTGTCCCTCGTTTTTATGACTTAAGTAATTAACTGCCATGTATGTGACGTCTCCAGCAATTTGAACACTGACTGTCTTTTATTTGATTCCTGATCAGTGCAGCCACCTAATCATCTGTGTGAGTGAGAGACAACCAAACCTCCCTTTGAGTTTTAAAATACTTATTTTTAGAAAATATTGTGTGAGATATTCTTTTTTTCTATGAGATATCCAAAGTTAGATTATATGTTAATGTAGTGTTATTGTAATCTCCTCTCTCGGAGCACTTGACTACATCAGACTGCTGTGCAGAGGATTTCAGATTTAGACAATAACACTTTTATCTTGCCTGTAGTCCATCTTCGCAAGTCTTCTATGTTCATTAGTGTATGTGTATGAGTGCAGGATTGGGTAGCTAACTTAAGTGCTGTTGTAGTAACAAACCCTATTAAGCTCAAGTCATTTCTGTTGTGGTTGACCCTGGTTTGCATGTTGCTCAGGAAAACAAAGACTGATTGCCATCAGATTGTGTCCTGGCTAACAGAGACTCATATGTGGCAATATGACAACCAAATTGTATTAAACTGTATCTGTATTTAACCTGTATATGAGACACTTGAAATGACAAGTGTAACTGTGCCTTCGTTAAGATTCAGGAAATATCCTTATCATGTTGAAAGCCAACGGTTAGCCTGTTGTTGGGTTCAGGACATGAACTGCAGTGCCTCCTGGACAGACACACATTACACAGACTTTAGGGTCCTGACATGAACCTCCTGCATGTTGGTGAGGTGATGTTGAGGTGACAGTTAGAAGCTGGTGACTGCAGGTGTATTAAAAGAAATGCAGGAAAACCTCAAACTGAATACAAATGTATTATTTTGATAATATGTAGACAATCTGCAATTGTATGTTTTTATTGACTTTTATTATAATAATGCTGAAGGACTACAGAGTAAGTTCTCATGTTAATCTGTGTGGAAGACTTCCAACCACATTGTCCACTATAAAGGGCAGAGGAGCATCTGTGTAATCCAGGTTACTTAGCATGCAGCACAGAATAAAGGAATGAAGATTGGTCTGAATTGGCAAAGCTGATGGCAACACCACCCAATACAAGAATACAAGAAATCTATTTCTCACAGATCCAGTGCTTAGACATGTAATGCGGACTCTGTGTCCATTGTCCTTGGTCATTGCAGCATGTTGCAGCATGCTGATATCCCTCATGTCTTGGTAGTCCTGGTGCCCAGAACCTATAGGGCAAATAAAATGTTGTCATTTTAAACAGGGCTGAAACAACTGGTTACAAAAGTGAAGATACAGTTTTGGCAATTGATGTAATCTGTAATGTCTGCCAAAACTGTATCTTCACTTTTGTAACCATTGCCACAAGAACATAACATTGCCACAAGAACATAAAAGTGAAGATACAGTTTTGGCAATTGATGTAATCTGTAATGTCTGCCAATGAAAGAATGAAACCTTGGTCAGTACTCCCATCTTGATGTGTGATTGAAGCAAAAAACCTTTCAGGTGTCTCACGTTTCTGTCAGCGGTGATCCGTCCACCCATTTCTGTTCCCATTCCCATCTTCCCCCTGTCCATGTTTCCTGTAGACCAATCCAAGACTCTCCATGCACATTCAGCTCAGTGACAAACTTCTAGTCATTGACAACAGACAAAAGTCAGCCACAGCTAACAGAGGGGGGATCCACTTGTACACCAATCAATCAATCAATCAATCAATCAGTCAATCAGTCAATCAACATTTATTTCTATAGCCCTTTACAAAACCCAAAGGTACCCAGAGTGCTTAACAATAGTGTCAAATAACAATGGGAAAAAAAAAACATAAAAGAAAAAAACTATGGAAAGTGGGACAGTGCTACAGAGTATTAAAAGCCTTTCAACATAGATGAAATACATTAAAACAGAATAAATAAACCTAAAAAAGGATAGCCCTAGTCGGAATTAAAAGCCATTCTAAAAAGGTAGGTCTTCAGCTTAGATTTAAAAAGGCTGAGATCAGTAGTGATGCGAATGTCAGGGGGGAGCTTGTTCCACAATCTCAGAGCAGCAACAGTGAAAGAAAGGTCACCCCATTTTTTGCATCGCGACCTTGGGACTTCTAACAGAAGCTGACCAGATGAACTCAGGGCCCTGCCACTATCGTGGATAGTTAAAATCTCTGACAGGTAGGGAGGAGCCAGGCCGTTAATGGCATTAAAAACAAACAACAGTGGGATTTCCAGCATCCACAGACAAGGCAATGTCATTGTGCACCTTTAACAGTGCTGACTCGAGACACCAGACTGAAATTTAGCAAGAACTGAAGAGTGGACACAACAGCATGATAGTGAATACATATACAAGTTAACATTTAATTTGATTGGAAAGCATTTTTTTTAAAAAAAGAAAGAAACATGTTCTGAGGGTTTTCCTAAACATTTCAGTTTGACTTTTTTTAATATTTGACTATTTCAACAACTTCTTTACTCTTAGATTTTGATCTGTCCAGAAGTCTATGAATTGATTTAAAGTTTAAGTTTTATTTCCATCATCAGTGTCAGTCACAAAAGCATGGTTGGATGAAAGGACTGAGGTCAGACCATCTGGTTCCTTTCATGTATTTTTAGGTCTTCAGTTTTTATCAAAAGAATACGAACAGTCCATGTGCTTTGATTTTGGACATAACTATTTGGAAATATCTAATCAGTGTATGGACTCTGTTAGTATTCAGTCAAACACATGTCTGTTCCACTCATGCCGACCTTGCACCTTTATGTACAAAAGCAGCAGAAGTTGACCCAAATGTCTGTACAGTACACAGAGTCAGAGCAGGTTGAAGTGAAGACATTTTACCAGAATCAACAGTTAATGAACATTCTTATGCGTTGGGACCTGAAGGCTGAACAAACTGGAAAATAAATCTGACAGGGTCTAGACATGAGGCAGGTTACAACAAAAACAGAAGTAACAGATCACTGTGAAACAAACACACTCACCTGTTCCTCTTTGTTGTTTATGATCACCAGATCTGCTCCTCTCTGCCGACAGTTAGCTCTGCTTCTATCCCAATTTTTCTCTTCATTCATTTTAAAGTAACAGCTGCATCCAAATATGCTCCATCCATCAGGACACCACTTCCCTTAATGTCAAACAAGTATTTTAAAGAGAGATTTCACTTCAGTGCTGTCACTGTTTATTTAAAGCTCTTTCTTAGCTTCAGTGTTTCGCTTTCAGGTTGTTTACTCTGTAAATACTTTAAGTTTTCACTCCAGAAATAGTCAAGTAGTAAAACAGTTCAACAGCGTCAAACAGTTACACTTCAAAAATACTCAAGTTATATTTATGTAAAATTAGTATAATTCTGGTATTTGCTGTCAGTTTTTAAACTTTTCTCACCTTCAATTTTGTCCCTCAGCTGCTTCACTTCATCCTGTAACTGACTGTAGTGGACTGATGCGTCTTGAGAACAACAACAGATCAAAGTAAGACAGTATGGAAATATTTGTGATTTGTCGTCAGTGTGAAGGTGGATCCTGTATATAATGATATTTTGACACTGATCCTTACTTGAAATTTGTCTTTGGAGCTGGCTGTAGTTTTTGCTCAGTTGGTCGTATCTGCTCTGCAGCTTGTCTCTTCCCAAAGTGACTGAAAGACAGTGAGACAAGACAAAATAAGATAAGGTAAAGCCTTTACTTAAATCCAGAGGGGGAATTCTGGTGTTGCAGCTACACAAGAACAGAAATAGGTACAGCTACATGGACAAAAGGTAAAACTAAAATAAATTAATTATTAGTATATAAATATAAATTGAGTAACAGGGGACAAACATTGATTCCAGACACTGGTGGTGATGGGGAGGTGGCGGGCACGCACAACTGCAGCGAGAAACAACTACAGCAGAGGAAGAGCTGTATTTAAAATGAGGAGCTGTAAGATGATAGGCTGACAGTGCCCACCTTGAAACTGCTGACTGTATAGATCTTCTGTGAGGTCATGGGGACAATGCATGTGAAGCATCCATGTTTTCACATACATGCATGTAAACTGTAACTACAACCTGACTGGTGTGCAGAGCCATACAACCACAGGTTATAACTCATAAAAGCTTCAGTTAAATGTTAACACAGAATAAGTCCTGTCCATTTTGTCTACCTTTTTCTTTTATTGCATTTGGGTTTGAAAGGGACTGCTTAACAGGCAGTATGAACAGTGGGAATGATTACAGCGACCAATAACTATTCCAGCAAATATTTTGCACATCAGTATTATATGAAGACCAACAAAAAAATCTGGATCTCTCCTTGAAATCTTGAGGCTGAAACTCCTCACCATTTGAGTACACCATTGAATACTGATTTTATCTTACAGAGTATAGATGAGAGGATGATTCCTGTCATCATCAGGAGGCACAGCACTCCTAGACAATATGCAGCAACCCTGAAAGGCCTCCTTTGGACGGCTGGAGGATGCTTCTCAGCGTGTGGTCCTGAAGTGGCAAAAACACACACACAAATAGCTAGTTCATTAAAAGAAAACAACATTTGTCTGATCATAGTTTATGTCATTCCCCTGTTACAATAACATGTTACTCAGTAGCTTCATTGACCTCTGGTTCGGTGACATTTGTCAGACACACTTTAAACAAATAATTTAAACACTCTGTAACATTTTATTATAATGATCCTTTATAAAGCCTTTATAAAGAATTAACACATAATTTGTAAATATACTAGTTAAACATTTATAAAGCCTTTATTAATCAATCAATTTTATTTATAAAGCCCAATATCACAAATCACAATTTGCCTCACAGGGCTTTACAGCATATGGCATCCCTCTGTCCTTTGGACCCTCACAGCGGATAAGGAAAAACTCCCCAAAAAAACCCCTTTAACGGGGAAAAAAAACGATAGAAACCTCAGGAAGAGCAACTGAGGAGGGATCCCTCTTCCAGGACGGACAATGTAAGTGTTTATAAATATAATGAAATAATAATGAACATATCATTTGTATACATTTATAAAGGATTAAGACAT